CTATATCCAAGTAGTTGCGGTAATACAACATCGTAATGTAGAATACTACAGTAATGCCACAGGGTAATGCCATCTGTTGGGCTTAATGTTACTGATTACATTAAAAATGATGTTTTATCTTAATACATACATGTACATAAAATAGTGTTTAGAAAATCGGCAATATACGTTGTTTTATTTTCTCAAAAACATCGTATTAAAATCTAAACTACTCATCCAATCTATATGGTGTAAAAGACAATTTTCATGTATATTAAATTTCTTCGACGATAAACATATTTATTTCGATAAGGATTTAATATCACCTACTTAAATAAACGTTTAAAGACGGACGAAAAATTTAAATAGACTTATATGAAGTTCTTTTTATTTTTGTGGCAAAACCCTTGCATATAGATATATGACATCGCGGACTTTTTTATAGATAATTTAAGGCTCTCCAACTTTTCTTTAGAAAGCATTCGTATATCTCATACCGTTTAGGCAGCGTTCACAAAAATAGGCGCCGTTGGAGGTACTTTTATCCCTAGGGAACCTTTTGGTGGGATAAAAAGTATCCTATTATCTAAGTCAGGTAATACCCTATCTGTATACCCAATTTCATCAAAATCCGTTCATTCGTTTCGGCGTGATTGACGTACAAACATCCAAACATCCAAACATCCAAACATCTAAACATCCAAACAAAGAAACTTTCACATTTATAATATTAATAGGATAAATATTAAACAACTGATGTTGTAAACAAATAATGTATTTGCTCAAAATCCAAGATCAGTAGCTAAAGCCCCCATATTATGGAGTATCTGAGACAACGAAGGTACCACAACACCCAGACCCGAGACAACATAGAAAAAGTTCCTTATTTATTTTTTTTACCCCCTCTCCCCCTTGGTGATACATGGTGAGGTTTAAGACTACCCCCTCACTCCTTCAACCAAGTCAGGTTTATTTTTTAAAACCAACAAAAAATCTTAATTTTTGACGTCGCTTCTTGTTTTAATAATCGCGCGTCGAGGAAAAAATAAATACACGTGATATATTACTACACCCCCTCACTCTCCTTATGATATTTCGTGATTTTTGACGAATCCCCCCCCCCCCCCTTTTGAGCCTCACGTGATTAATGGATACCGTGGTTCAAAAATGCAATTATTATAATTTTTAAGATTAACATTAAACAAACATACTAGGAACTATACCACTGCCGTGGTTCAAAAATGCGATCGTCATAATTTTATAAGGTTAACAATTATATAAAATAATAGAAAATAAGTTACTACCGCGATGCTAAATCACACAACGCCGTCTATTGATGGACGGGAGAACTTTTTCATATTTATAACAAAATAATGAATTTGAATAATGACAATGGTAACGTTTTAATTTCCTATACAAACTGCCACTCCCATTTACAATCCTTAACTAGTCTTAAAACTACATCATATGTCACCCTCATATGATGTAGCTTTTCGCAAGGGAAATAATTTTTAAAATTGGTTCATTAGTTTTGGATTCTATTTCCTACAAACAGAGAACAAAAAATGTCCTCTTTATAACATTAGTTTAAACAAGTACATAATTTTTTATAGTTTATCAATATCAATAATACAAGTATATAACTTAGAGTGCCTGTTTGTAATATTAAAATAACTGCTTTTTAATAAATCATATTGTATACACGGTATATATCAAAACAATATTTTTTAAAAATTTTTGTCTGGCTTTTTGTCACAGGCAAAACGGCTGAATGTAATTGGACTGGACTTTCACTGGCATACCTATAGCTGATGTTATTAACAGTAACTTGGGCTACTCTCAATTTAGTTGTATTATTAAAATAATCGTTTAAAATATTTACTGAATAAGCATTCATTGAAAAGTATATATCCATAGTTTGTATACCAAAATAATATTATTTACAATATTTGTCTCTCTGTCTGTAGTAATTTTTAAATTACGTTATTCTGGTAATCTATAGTAATATTGTTACATTTGTTTCCTGTCGCTATTGTTCTTTTAAAACGTGATTTTGTTTTTTTGTAATGTTTGTGGTCCTTGTTGTTTTTCCGATTTTTATCATACAAAGTTGCTTTCGTTTTCAATTTAACGGGGTATTATGAATCTGGCAAACAAAAGTATAAAATGTTATATTTGGTTCTCGTCGCTAGATGACGCTATGTATTTTTAAAACTGGTTTAAGATTTTTTGGAATTTTTGTATTCTTTATTCAGGTCTTAACCTAATACTTCCTTCCATACTATCCATGCATAAAGACTGGACGGGATTTTAAGTCTACCTCAAATGATTAGAATGTTTGTCCTCGGAGTTTGTGGACAGTTATAGCAAATGCAGATTTAACAGGAAATTGTTGCCTGATTGTTCGCCACTAGAAATTTTTGCCTTGAATAATTGAAGTCGTAGAGACTTGTTACAATGAGCAATAGTGTGTTGCATAGTCCTTCTGATACATCTAAATTACGCAACAACTTTATTAATTCCATTTTTTTTTCAATTTTAATCCGTGTAGTATTAAGCATTAATATGGTCCAAATGAGCATTCTCCAATAGGCATATCGGTTTCTCAAGTAAATTATATTTATCTTATTTTTTTTCAAGCTAAACGTTTTCTTCGCATTTTTTTTTAAACAAAATGAAAAAAATAAGTGTTTGCCGGACTCAAGCCGGCGCATTTTGGTACCAGGCCCAGCCGTTATTTTCAATTTTAGTTCGTCCTAATAATATATCGGTTTCTCTATCAATCTTATTCATAGTGTATTTTTGCCGATGAAAAAAAAAGAAGAAAGAAACCAATCACAGGTTAATATTTAGGGCATTCTAGCCGTGTAGACAATGGCGAAATTTACATCGCATTGTAATGATGTTGTAGCAATTTATCAAAAAAGCCTCAACAAAAGACTTTTTGTAAATGAGTCGTAGCTAGATCATTTATCCGTCGAAACCCCTGCATACCAAACTTCATGAAAATCGTTGGAGCTGTTTCCAAGATTCCTATTATATCAAGAATGAGGAAATTTTAAGAAAAAAAAAGAAAGCACCTCATCTTTTAATACTTCCTCATTGCTCGTTTAAAGGTATTAGATAAATACACATGCGCTTAAGAAAGGTGAAAGATACGTCTTCGAATTGCAAATCTGTGACAGGAGCTCCATTCTTGTTCTTTAAAGAGACTTTAAGAGACTTAACAACAAATGCTCTTTCTTTCATGTTTATTTATTTTTATAACATATGAAATATTTTTCCGAACTTTCTAACATCTTAAAAAAAACAAAATAACAAGGAAACCATATATCGTACTTAGATAAAACGAGTAATAACAAAGTAAATAACAAGCTAATTGAAAGAATACCTATTTATTGCGTTGTTTACTATACGTGTCAGTAACATTATTTTAATATTAATAAATGGGTGTTTTTTAGTAACTTGATATCAAAGTCAAGTGTGTTTGTGTATGTGTGTAGTTAAGTAATAAGGGAGTCTGAAACTGAGACTAAGAAGCAAAAACTTGACTCGTTTTTGTTTCAAAATAATGGTTGGTATAAAAGCCCGGTCCAATGAAATTATAAAAAGATACACTGTGCCGCTGCCAACATATTTGAGCCATTATACTGTAGCTATATTATATAGCTTAGTCTGACATATATTAACAATGACTTAATATCTGTTTGATTTCCTTTAACTCAATATAAAACTATTTCCTTGCTCATTTCAGTGGCTGAATATGAGTGGTTCACCTACAGATCGGTGAATTTAATGCACTACCACACACAGGTAAATGATTTTGTTCCTCCTTTATTGTTTTTTATGTACCTAAATGCTGTATCTGTGTAATGTAGTTGTGTGTTACAAATAGCTAGATTAATATTAAATTTTTTAATTTAAAAAATGCGCTAAAAATAAGAGAGTTGATCTGAAACACACACACAATATTCACGGAGTCATGTTCCCCTGGTTCAGACATGTGGAAAAAATGAAAGAATGAACAAACGCTAAAGTTTAAAGACATTGAAGCGGCGGAATGCCCACCAAGGCAAATTTCATGATCAAATCAATAACCAGCATGCATGCAAAAAGTAATGAACTTTGAGGAGGCGAAGGACATGTGTGGTCTTCTCCATCTACCCAGCAAGGGATAAATATCAATAAAACATTGTAAACGCATTTATCAGATATAATTATTATAATGCAACATGTTAAGGGAAAGTTAAAATGTTTGCTAAAATATTTAATCCGACTTCTTTAAATTACGCCGATTGTTCTACTAAACGAAAGTAACAAGTACTTGTGAAATTCGACACTTTGTTTCAGGTTTCAGATACCTCAATTGGTAGAACAATTTCAATAAAGCAAGTTCCAATTAGTTTAAAATGAAACGTTGAATATTTATTTAAATAACATCTTATTGAAATCTTACAATTAAGTATTAACATTTTATAATAATGCAGCTTATATTTTTACATGATGTATTATATTAAAATAATACATTTACATAAATTATAAACGAACATGTTAAATTATCACGCAATCACAGATTGTACGCCGTCCATTTCAATCAAAAAGTTGTTTTTTTTTTATCTAACGAAACTATACATTACAAGAAGCATAAATATACAAATAATGTTAACAACAAGTTCCTTTTATATTACTTCGTATTAAATAAATAGATGTAAATAAAAAAAATACACTGGTATGTAACTAAGAGACCACAAATCTCTGATATGAAATGTTGACAAAAAATAAGAATGAATAAAATATTCTTTATTTTGAGTAAGCTAACAATCTATAAATGTAGAGTTAAACAAGTTCGAGATTGATTGTAAGCCTCTTTGAAATAACTTGATCTACTTTGTGTATATTCTACCCTCGAATTTCCATGTATATTTACGTCCAAACTAAAATTTACCGATTCACAATTTCCTAAATAAAATTAGGGTCAATTTGTACAATCAATACTTATTTTATCGACAACATTACCTATAGTGTAAATGGCATACTGGCTGATTGGTCGACCTGTCTTAATACTGAAACTTACGACTAACGGGTTAACTTAAAGTTTTAATCACAGTTTGTTTATCATGGACATGACGGCATACGCTACGCCTGATACCATCGCTACTATGGAGAAGACACAGATGAGGACGTTCTTTATTAGAATCCAGTGATAAGGTCCAAGGTCCTTTCCCCATCTCCAGACAGTTTCAGTGACCGCGGGCAGCAAGAGACCCATCACCGAGAGGCACACAGCGCCGACCAATTCCATGAACAGCTCGAGGCGTGGCACTGCTGTCGCTATACCGACTGTGAAAAAATAAATTAGTTATAATACTTTCATATTTTAATACAATATCCCGCTTATTGTGAATATTATTTTTCATTCCATCTAACATTAAAAGGACAGAGATTATTATAGCTAACTGCGTTAGTATTCTTCTTATTAATGACAAAAATGACTGCAAATTGACGTACGATATATTTACGTTAACCGTTTGTCTCGCTCTAAATTAGGTATTTTTAATATCGTTATTTAGGAATTATCACAAAAAAATTAAATATATACATTTTTAAAGGACGCGATTGAAGTTAACCCTGGGCTATCCGACTAAGTTAATTTTGTGTTATTACTTATACAAGTGAGTCACTTGAAAAGTATCAACTATAATCGAACATTTCAGTTATCGATATACTCTTAATCGATTTAAATAATTGAAAAAGATTATCTACGTCTTCTAATTTAATAATATGTTTTTAATTCAATAAACTTTAAAATTTGCTCTATTGCAAGGCTGTACTTGTCCAATGGATCTGTTTAAATTCTTTAGATATACGTGTGTGTTGGAGATCCGTAATGTTTTAAACAGTATTTCATTGTGGGAGTACTTCATTTCCATAGCATCCACAATAATAAAATAATATTTAGGAATGTTCCTCTTAATAATTGTCAATTACCGATGACGGTGAAGTTTACGCTGAGTATAGAGGGTCGTTTTAATATTACTGATGAGATGATCTAAAGGGATCACAACATCAAAACGGATTACGGAATTATTCTTTTGATAGCAAAGTCCTGTGCTTCAGAAGGCACGTTAAGTCGTTGATCCTGGTTGCATATGCAGTAGTTAATACCCACCAATCCATACTAGACGATGAAGATGATGACGATGCTGATGAAGACGGCGACGATGATGATGCTTATGAAGACGACGACGACGATGATGATGACGGTGGTGATGTTGATGATGTTATAAGATAAGATTTGAAATACCTGTCAAAAGCACGCCACTGAGTCGTATTAGTCCCATGCTCCATCGATGGTGTCTGGCGGGAATCTTGTCTTGGACTCGTCTCCATACTACATCCACTGGCACGTAATACACCAGAGCATAAGACAGGATCATCACACTCGCCACCAGGACTTTGGCCGTTTGAGCTAAGCTGTGAACCGATTATTCCACATAATATTTCATGTAGTATTGAGCGGATTGCGAAAACTTTTCATCCGAATCTAAAACGCGTAAAGAGGTCACTGTATACGTAACAACGTTAAAATTTAGATGAAAACATCAGTTAGGGGTGCATTTTAGGATTTCACGCGCCGGGTCTTTGGCACCTTACAAATAAAAAAAAAGAGAATATAAACCTTTCGTCATAAGTAAAACAAAATCCCGCAATAATCGTATATATTAAAAAAAATAATTACTATACAGATCTTGCAGAGTAATAAACATTTCACGTGTAGCGTCGTTTCTTTTAGTTTGCCGCCCTAGGTCATAGCTCTTTTGATCCTTTAGCAAATCCACCTCTAAGTGTTTGAATGCATACATATTCTGGAGAAAACTCGTTCTTAACACCCTAATGTGAAGAATAATTAACTTCACCCTTCTGTAACTTTTCGGACAAAGGACGCGTTACTTGGGTGGCCTGAATATTTTACAAACATATAATATATTTGCCAGAGGTTTTAAGTTGAAATTGCTCGACTGTCCTCTTCATAATAGTTTAATTTGATAACGTTACGTACCGGTGACCTTTGAAGATATATAAAGGGTCAAACTCGTCATCAAATGATGTTCATGTAACGAAAGAATCCTTGGAAGGCGAAGTTTGGTTCTGAACCCTAGATGGGTTCTACGATATAACTTTCCATAGTAAATATTAGAGTTAGAAGCCTCGATGGCCTATCTATTCAAAACGCCGAACATGCTCTTTGCTAACGATAAGCCAAAAAACTTGAAATGCAGGTAATTTAAGTTAAAAAAAAAAACCATTATATATTGCCTAATAAAACAAACATTACAGGATCGTATAACATATTATGAGAATAGACAGGTCGGTAATAAATTCAAGGAACCTTTTCTTAAGTCGCTGCATGGGTGTTATCTGTAGGTTATATAAACGACGTTATAGGTTTGCAGAAATCACTGAAAAATTTATCAAATATTTATGCAGTTGGATATAGAAGTTTCATGATCATTGGTCCACAATTGGCAAATTGGAACTATAGTTGAAAAAACAGTTCTAAAAAAGTTCAGTGGTATTAAACTCTCCTTTTAAAATACATCTAATATTATAAAGGGGGTCGTGTAAAATCAATATTAACGTTATCATGGAATAACGTTTGTTTTAATAAAGTTACAGTGCTTTGGAAATTTGTAACAATGAAAATTTAATGAGGCCATTAAGCCTCTATCTACTCTTTGAAAGATCAGTAGCTATATTTTCGAATCATTCGATTATTGTCGAGCGCTTTTTTACTATTTATTTGCATGTGTCATACGAAATATATGTGTTTTGTTTCCTTTGACTATAGAATATAGTGGTATCATTCAATCTTCGCTAGATGAATGCTCCAAATCAAGTGATAGAATAAATATATATATCAAAACTACCACCTTTTTAAATGCCTTATTCTACATATTCCGTTTAACGCATACATTCTGTCTTTATTTAAGAGCCCTAAAGTTCAAGAAATTGTTAGAAGTATTGCAGTTAATGATTGTTTATTATTTTTATTATGTAAAATGAATAAAATTCAACATTTTACATTATTTAGTGGTAACAAGAATTGTTTCCAAATGCAGAAAAACATGCGCGACATGCTCAATGATATACTTGCATTAACATTACAATAATTATAAAGCGTTATTGGTCAAGAGTATAAAAAATTAAGTTACGGAAGGCAATTTAAACGAGTGATTCAAAAGTAAAACTCCAGGTGTAGCGTTTATTATTGAATGGCTGACTACATTTGATTGCTTTTGCTCGAGTGGTTTTTCTCTATAAAGAATATTGTACTCAAGTAGTCAAATGATAAAATCGACAATTAATATATCTTCATTTGTGTCCTTTTTAATATTAAATTCAACAAGTAAATTTCTTGATGTCTAAAAGATTATTGTAACTTCATTTCACTTTAATGAGAAATAACAACATTTTATATAATAACTAACTACAAAACTACTTATCGAATTGAAAAATAAAGCGATAAACTGACATTTTAATGTTCTATTTGATAAATTTTGTTTGCAAATTTTATATTTAAATGTGTATTATAGAAGAATACTTAAAAATTTAACAGTCTCTGGAGTCCGAGATGGAATTCGATCCCAATAGACTTTTGGCATTTGTTGCCAAAAGTTTATTATCTCTAAGCCTACGAAGGAGTTATGAGTTCAAATCCCATTACAAACACCTGCAGTGCTATTTTGTTGAATATACAGCTTCAGACATACCGCTGTTGTGGCATTAGATACCCATTTATACGCACTGAGCTCGCGTGTTGGGTCATGGACTGCTTTTCCTATTCGATTCGATCCTTTGCCCGAGCAATGGGGACATTAATCTGATACCATAATCAATATTGTATCTAGAGATGAAAGACATTTATGACTAATAACATTTAGAACTATTAAGACATCTACGATAAAAATATTATGTTATAATTAAAAGAAACACAAAAAGTTTAATAAAAATTCAGACATTTTATAATTAACCCCGCGACCTCAATAGATTTTATTTCAATCTTTTTTACTTTAATTAAGCATTTTTGTAGTAGAATTTATATAAAAAAAAGTTTTCATTTCTTCTTAATTAAAGTCAGTAAAACTTTTATAGTTTATCTTTCCAAACAGCTTAGCTAGACGATTTAGATGAAATTTATATTGTTCCCTGAGATGAAAGCTAATGAGGAAGTATTTAAAAAAACGAAAGCACTAAAAAGCACTTCCACTAGATGGTGACTCTAGCAAAAGTTGATTTTTGCAGGAAACTAATGAACTAAAGACAGTCATTTCCGTTCCTTTTAACTAATAAATCAAAAAAACTGAAATTTGAAAAGTTCGAAATTTAGATATCAATAAAAATACAACAAAATACAAATAGAATATGAGTTGTTTATTGAGTTTTGAAAACTAATTTACTTTTAAACATGAAAGAAAATGGAGAAATCAAGAACGTACCGTAGCGACATCTAATTTGATTTCGGGAACTATTTTTTTACTATCCTATATTTCTGCTGAAATGCATTTTGGCAGAAATTTCGGTAACTAAGACTGCAGATCAAATACAAAACATTTTTTTTTGAAATTGCTTTAAAATAAAGCTCACATTTCTTCTTGCGGTAGATTCAGTGTCAAACTGCCTCTAACGCCTTCACCGAAGCTGAGGTAGCCGGTGAAGCCGACGAACGCGTACAACACCGCCACAGCCGACATGGCGATGTTCAGCACCCCGGGGCAGCCCAGGAACTGGTGCGGCTTGCTCATCTCGTTCTCGATGGGCATCACCACACCGATGCCTTCCATTGCGAACAGACAAGTGCTGCGTAACATAACAGAAACATTAGAATAATGCATACTGCCATTGAAATGACGACTCTACGAGTGGCTTGCTTGACTTCAAGGTCACCCCCTAGGTCCTGGGTTTTTCACATATTGTCTCGGGTATGAGTGGTATGTTGTCTTCGTTGGTTCAGATTTTCGTAATACAAGTGCTTTAGGTACTAGATTAGAGCTGTGTGCAATGTACATGATCTTCTGTAATATTTCTTTGTAGATACTTGAAATGTATAAAGGTTGTAATAATGGCTAACAAGGTTGCAAATCTTTGAATAGAATAAAACTACAACGAATTAAGAATAAGAATTAATACAAAATAGGAAAAATAAAAATAAAAATGAAATATAGATCAAATATAAGAAAAACAGCTTTTTAGTAACCAAGAGAATGACAAAGGTTCGGCAACAATTCTTTTTCTTCTTCTGATTTTAATTTACCTTATGAAAGTAGGTATTCCCGATATAGACGTAGCCAGGTTCCTCTCAGAGACATTCGGCGGGTCTCTCAAGCAATAATATATGCTGATGCAGATGGAAACCAGCCAGACAACGTTGGCTATTGCGGAAAACGGCACCAGGTATTTGAGCTTGGTGATCTGACACAAGGGGATTAGGATGACTAGTGTCAGAGCGCAGTATATTTTCACTGACCATACAGGACCACCGTATACATCCGATATCTGCAAAAGAGGAAATATGTATTACAAAATAGAAATTATGCAAAATATACCTATTATAATTACGACATAGCAATGTGCCTTGGATTAATATTTCAACAGTTTTACTTCCGTTTTTTTTGTAATCAAATATTTTCAATGATAAAGTGACTTACTTAAAGAGAAGTAAAAATGTGAATCATAATATCTATTATTCCAAATGATAAATGTTATACAGGATAAAATATTTTTAAGTTTACAAATTATAATATTTTGACGAGGTTGATAGCGAAGTAGTTAAAGAGTATAGTCAACGTGGAGTTTAAGCAATTTTCAAAAGTGCCGCTCATAGGATGAGTGACCGAAATTTACTGACTCGAGGGAGCAGCCTGACTCTAGGATTACACGTCCAAGTGTCTTTAATTATTTACTAGTCTGTAACAATATCATCATTATCACCAAGCAGGCTATCCCCATCGATGGAATCGATCAAATCGAATAGAGAGAATGGGCCATGACCCAGGGCCCAGTACGGATTAGTGGGTGTTAACGACTGCAGATGCAGCCGAGACCAACGGAGCACTGAGGAGTTTGAATTAATGCGAAAGGTGCTTAACAACCGTATCGCAGACCTAGCGCACTAACCATTGCTCCATAAAGCTCCTTAATTTTTCCCACATCACTTTAATCGTTTTCTATTTTCCACAAACTTTAACACAATGTGCACGCCATTGTCCCACAAGAAACGAAAACAAAAAACCACTGATATTCATTGATTTGATTCTGTAAAGAAACATAGCCTGATTGTATCATGAAAATCTTTGTCTCAATCGCGGCATAATTTTAATTACCTGTTTAAAGGACTCCGCAACAACAACAGTGTAAACGCAACAAGCACCTAAATGAGTGAATGCCAAAGCCCAATCTGCCAATTCCCTGGAAAAGAAAAGAATACTCTGGAGCACGTCTTTGATTGATTATAAGCCGCTCTTAAAAGCTTTTAAAGCACTTAATATTTGAATACTTAAGCCATCTCGGCCTATTTTAAGTGACGCACGAGAAGTTTTATTTGAAAGGCTTACGTAATTTTAGAATTTAAGATGGCACCTTTAATTTATATTAAAATTGTTAATAATCCAATAACATAATTTTGAGACAAAACATCACTCTTACACTCGTATCTGTAGTCGAGTAGAATTATTTACTCGACTAAAAGTAATTACTTGCCCAATATATTATAAACAAAAAATAAACAAGAATTTCAATGAAGTAAGTACTAAGTACTTTCAAAAGTTAGAGTACTTTTACCAATAGCTAACTAACTAATCATTTCATTAAAATTCTCACCTATTGTTTAAAAAAATTTGCTTAAGTTATTATTTATAATCAAGTAATTTATTATTATATAATACCGATGGTCCTTACTCTTCGAATAAAAACAGTATAGAAAGAAACAAGCGTTTTTTTTCGAATATCCAAATTGGGGTCTAATGACTCATTTAAAGCGGTCGTTTGATTATATTCACCCCCACGGAGCCTTATGCTGGCCTTGTGCTGTGCACGGGGTGCTGACAAATTGTCTGGGTCATTGGTTTATCGACCAATGAAATGTTGTCCGCACACCGCATGGGGTCCTAATTGACTAATGCTACTTAGAGTTGCCAACCGTATGATTTACATAGTATATATAAGACCTTTTTGGCTCTAGTACGATATACGAGCGAAATATACGATCTTTTGAATGGACTCTTACTGAACATGATAAAAGAAAAAACAAATTCATTTTATTTTTGTAAAAAAAATAATAATGAGCTGAGGACTTGAACCAGCTTGTATTTTCATGGACACATCTTATAATAAACTTTATCTCTCCTTAACTTTATACGGAACGCACAGTTGGAGCAGAGGAGCAGCCACATGAAGCAGCTACACTTGACATCTATCAATCTAAACTTATTTATGGGACCCCTCACAAATGAGGGGAATATCAATAACATTCATATATCAGTTCACGAGATTGACTATAAAATTATATCTTGTTTCGACATTGTAACAAGAATAAGAGATATTAATTAAGAAAAGCATCAACAATCTAATTGTTTTTGGTTATATTAAAGAAAAGTCCTTTCCCTTGGTTATCACGTTATTACAAAGTAAATGTTATGTTTTTAATTTTCTTTCCATATACCACAACATTCAGATATAAATTGACTCTTTTCCAAAAATTCAATAAATGAACAAACTAAAAGTTATCAAATTATTAAAGCAATATTTAGGGGATTAATCATAAATATTTCAATAATTATTAAAATCATTTATCTCTTCAATTATATGTTATCTATACTTTCTATTTTCATATGACGTCACGCGGGTGTCATATAGACAAGGTTCCTGCGAATTAGCAATTTACGCGACTTATATATGCTTAATTTTTTCCTTATCTAAAAAATATCTTAAGTAACTCCGCATCTTAATCAATGTACCCTAAATGATGAATATTAATTCCAAATTATATTATATCATAATTACATTTCGTTTTAAATCATAGACGTCGTTTTATTGCAAATTCCATTGCGTTCCATTATTTTTCTCGAATTCTTAGTAAAATACGATCTTTTTCTAGTCTATGATACGATCATCTAAAAAATACAGTTAGCAACACTGATGTTACTGGGCTATTAGAGATATCGTACCATTAGTCTAGTATAATCTCGCTTCGACCAATGCACTTTCATTCTGCAATGGTTAAGATCTTAGTAGTTCTTACATTTTTCTATTACCACAGTATGGTTATAGTCCAGTTTTATTTTATAGTAATAAAATAAACTTAACATGGCCCATACTGACCTTGCAAATGGTGCAAATTTTCTTACTGGTTTTGGTCCATTTTGGAATACGAGATCACACGTTTCTGCGTAGCCCAACGCTGGTTTCTTCATTTCGGTACATAGCTGCTGCGAAGTTTTAACCTGGAATACGAATAAAAAAACTACAATTTATTATGGATACGTAAGCATTATTATTGCAAATACGAAATACAAATTATTGTTGGATCAATTTAACAATTAAATTTATACTTTCTTAAGTAATTAAAGTATTAAACATATGTGTTAGATTTGGCTTAATCTCAACTTTTATTATGCACCTAGAAGTTCTATTATATTTTGCATTATGTCATTTATACGACTATATTGTTTAATTTGTCTCACGAATATAAAAATTGTTATGTGAAAATTTTAAAACTATGATAATGTTGTGAATCTCTCATGCATTTCTAACACTAGTCTTTATCTTTTCACACTAATTTACATTATATATAACCTTTCTAAATACAAGATATTAACACACTTTTAAGGGTTTTTTTTTAAACATATACCATAGTAGGAAAATGTTCTTTATTAATAATTTAAAAACTATAAATAATCCATTAATGGTTGATTTTTTTAGTCGGACTGGAATATTCAAAAACTAGTTTTCGATCTTCGAATGAAATAAATAAGGGGATTTTTCTAAGTGAACAGGAAAATGAGTTTAATATAGTGCCAATGGATCGTGTAACCTTTGGAGTAGTACCTCGAGTGTTAGATTGCGTCAGTAAGAGGCTGCGGTTACTGCGGTCGAATCGCTTCAATGTGAATCTACTTTCGTCGGAAGATAGATTAAGATCAAAATGACTCAGCCGCAGTTGGAAAAGTCATCTGACTATTACATAACATCTTTCAGTTATATTTCATTTGTGTTACAATTATTTAATAAACTACTAAGTAGGTGTTTTAAATATTATTAGAATATTTGAATACCAATAACAAATCTGTTGGTAGCTGTCACCGACTTTTTATTTTCAGTTGACAACATTTCCCAGTGTATATGTTTTTTTAAATGAAAAATAATAATATCATTAAGCTTTAATATAAAAGAATATTAGTACTTAGCACTTTATCTCCATATAAACTTTAACTGTGTCATATAATCCACCGGCCGCTTTATTTTTGGAAAAAATATTTCATGATGATGATATCGTAAATATTATATTACTATTATGATAAAGCAGGGCTTGAATTTATTGGAAAATTTTATTAGTTATGTGACATAGAAGTCTACCGTGTAACTTTATTGATATGAAATTTTAATAAAAAAAAAAACTTTAAAACTAACATTAAAGGTGTTTATTTTATTGATCGTAAAATTGTAATCGCCAAATCATTGCGGACGGACAACCTTATGACGTAACTTCTACTATAAGAGCATTATATCTATTTTAATTCAAGTACACAGACATAGTTAAATCCGCTACCTCGTAGGGGGACAGTTATCTAAAATATCATCCAGTTAATTATAAATTTTAATGTTTATTAATTACAGTTTTAAATGGTTAGAAAATATTTCACATTATGTGGACTGATGTACGTCTCTAAATCCAAAAATAATAGTAGCAAACTTACCAGTACATGTACGACATGTGCGCATATGAATCCTATAATGAATGTTCCAAAGCATCCAACCACCAGCCCAGCATTCTTGAAAGCTAGAGGCATGGCCAATACTCCTGAGCCTAAAGACGCCTTCAGCAGATGGGCTAGAGCCCCAAAACTCCTGAAAAATAACCAATTTCTATAACGAAAAAGTAGATAAAGTTTGAGAAGGTCACAAAGCCTCATGGCTTAATTTAGCTTGTGTCTTTTTGCCTTGAGTGGCAGAAGGCACCAGTTTGAAATTAGTTTGGAGAAAACTTTTATTAATCAAATCTAAAAACTGTGTCTAATTCATTACTTTATTAATCATCCAAATAGCCTAGCGTCATAATTAAATTATTAAATTATCTGATCTTATTAATTTTTTTTAAGAGCACCCCACGCAAGATGGAGCTTTTTTAATTAAGTTCACCATAAGAATGAAACCAATAAAATGTCAGTTTAAACATTGTAAACTAATTAGAAAATATCGTACACATTGGTCCAAATCTCAAATGAAGTAGATTTAATATAGGTATTAGAACACTCAGACCTGTCAGATAATACAAAAAACTTTATTTTCTATAAAGACCCGATCGGGAATCGAACTTGATCTTAGAAAGAGAAACTGACATGTAAGCTACACGGTTATGGAGGTCTTCATTATTGTTTTTTAAGCAAATATTTCTTGATAGTTTCTTATTTATAAAACGAATGTATGTCACATTGAATTGTTAGAAACGAAGCGTAAAAATGCCTCCATTCTAAATAATTACGAACGACGGATCAAGACAATGTGATCTATGCGAATGTAACCGCATCCTACTCACTGAAGTTACAGTAATTACGGACTAACAATTAGTTGTAATCTTTTTCACATCGCAAATAATTAGTGTGGATTGAGAAAACATGGCGAGCTAATCTTCACTGAGGCTGATGTTGATTTCAATTAAGTAGGTAATGAGCACTAAAGGTAAATTACTCGACATAAATATGTGATCTTTAATTTCCGTGAAGTATTTTAAGTGTAGTGTATATGATGAGTATTTTTATTAATACATCATACCTAGACTTAAAACGTTTAAAAAGTGATAGGTATTTAAAATGTTATGCACGTACAAGCACCGTATGTAACCCGTATAAAACCGGTAAGCGAAACACAGAACTCGCGAGGAAAATGGGAAAGGACGATGGGATGGTCTAGTTGATGGGTCTAGGTCATTCCTATTATTCTTTTTTTTTATGGGATAGGGGGCAGACGAGCAGACGTATCACCTGATGGTAAGTGATTACCGTCGCCCATGGACACCTGCAACACCAGAGGGGCTAAAAGCGCGCTACCAGCCTTGGAGGAAAGGATTGAGGGGTTGAGGGAAGGGAGTAGGGAGGGGTTGGGCCTCCGGTACCCTCACTCACACGACGAAACACAACGCAAGCGTTGCTTCACGTCGGTTTTCTGTATAATTAGAATCTATTTACATCTTAAACGAAAGTTTAAAATATTTGTAGTTAATAAATATAACAGATATTTCTTTCGGCTGTTTGAGTGGATTGTCTGAACATTGATGAAAATACGCTCACTAGTAGTGAGAAGTAATAAATGCTTAAAAAATAAAAACTTTAACAATTACTAACGATGTGCTCGAAGTGATCGGCCTGTGTTCTGCTGGAACGTAGGGGTCCAGATCCTCTCGGGAGCCATTACACGCCAAGTCGACCCTGAAACAAAGGATACGAATTTCCAATTAAACTTCGGATTATACTAATCTTGCATTGTTAATTGCTTTCCTATGTTATTTATAAACTTTCAAAACTAATGGTTTCAGAATAAATGGACCTATATCGTTACAATGAACTGATTTAATTAGATTTCAACGAATTAGTTTTATCTAAATTTTCAGCGTAGTAACGAAAAAATCAAAATCTGACCAAGTTCCCGAGATATTTTCTTGGAAGCTTTCACAGTAGAACGCAAATTGTTTCTAATTCTGTCAAATATTTTCTATACCGAGAAATGGTGTCGGACTGTTACCTTAAGTATTCATCAAAATGTTTTTTAACGAATTGAATTAATTAATTAAGAACGTTTTTTTTTAATCAGACTAATAATATTTGATCTTACGGTTACCTTTACTATTAAAAAACTTTAAAATAATGGTTACTGTAAAAGTATTTCATAATTCCTTCGACTACAAAGTGGCTCAGGTATTAAAAAAGATTCCCTATAAAAAAATTAAATAAATGTCACAAAAGAACTCATGATGATAAATTAGTTTGAGTTTTAAGTTGAGTAATACCCATTGTTTCTTTTTGAAATCACCCAACTTTCAGTTTGTTTATCCATAGCGTAACTATTTCATAATGATGATTGAGTTGGGTTAATACAAATTAAAAACCCTGTACAAAGAAAAATATTTTCTTGATTGTAGTTTCTGGCTGCTATAGATGGCGAAGTAATACTAAAAATTAGTATAATCGCTTTAAATATATCCAATTGTCCATGCTGGATCCGCAGCTTCTCCTCGAAGTTTGGAATATATTAAAAGAATACTCCCCACTGGGTATGTTTAGATATATGACTCAGATCCAAACTTAAGCAGCTTTTAGCACCTGTACGATGGAAATACAAAATAATGGAGGCACTACAACTTCAAGACAAGTTTCTAAATTGACCCGATCGGGAATCGAATCCGGAAACTATGACATAGATGGCGACACTAAGCCACGTCAGGGGGCCAATTCTACTAAATAAATTTTGTTTAAATCGAATCGAAAACGGATCGAAATCGAACGAAACCACAGTTTTTAATGGATTTTCTCTTCTACTAAGTGATATACGATACAATTCCAGCTAAAATAGAACTGGAATTGTATCGTATGTTACTTTGTAGAATAGGAAAACCATTAAAAACTGTAGTTTCGTTCGATTTCGATCCGTTTTCGATCCATTTTCGATTCGATTTAAACAAAATTTATTTAGTAGAATTGGACCCCAGGATTAGAAATTATTGTTATAAAATTGTTCCAATCTTGATAGATTAGTTACTTAGATGATTTTTTATAACTTGCGTTGGCTCACTCGACCATATGAAATGAAATATTCAAGGCAGTTTTGTTAGTATACAATAAAAATGTAAAATTTTTGCACATTTGTCTTATGAATGTACCCATTTGTTCCAAACTTTAAATTACACGGTCATTATTACTGGTACGTTATCTCTATGACAACTGTAGGTACTCAGTGTGGCAGCTTGTTATTATGAGACCGCTTTGTAGTTTAGAGATTTTGCAATCGTAATTTATATTAATCGTAGTATACATTTCACACCTTCAAATTCACAAAATGAAATTCTCCCATTTTAGGAGAAAATCAAATATTATAAATCTGTTAAATGACAATTTTCACAAAAAGGAAATGGCTTTTACCAGCAGATAGTTTATGCGTATCTGTGCCAGCAGGTTGAAATTATTCTACATAATGGATTAACTCATTTTTGTAAAAACGTCAGTTAAGACGTTTTATTAGAATGGGTGCGATATAATTTAAAAGACAAGAATATTTTGTATTTTATAAAGCGTTTGGCATTGGTAATGTAGTAATAGAATTATTTTTAAAACTTTGTATAGGCGATTCTGAATAGTGTACGTTAGCCACTTCGAGAGGCGTTACTTGTTGAAGCCGCTTTATTGCTTTCTTTTTCTTACTTTCCTCTTTTCTAAATTATCTTTCGATTTCCCTATGAGTGCACCACTAAAGGAATATCTGGTGTACTTTCGGGAGTCACCGCGGACGCTACGAACTTTAAAGGAGGTTGCATTACGTGCGCAACCTCACCGCTGGCCGCATAGACGTCATGACGGCATAAAAGAAGAAAATTACTTATGTCATTCTCTTTTTTGTCTTTCGCTACAACGCATGAAAAATATTTATCAGCCACATTAATAATATATAAAATTTCGCATAATATACCTAAACATTGGATTATCAGAATAATTGTGGACGGTGCGGCAGTGACCGTTCGTCTCCAGGTGGCGTACATCAGTTCGGTAAGTACTCTCGATTTTATATCAGAGTTCCATCGGGTGTACTCTAAGGATAATCTCTTTCTATTGTTCTTTTATTTAGATTTTTTCCTTTAAAATTTATTAATAACCACATTAAGATTAAGATCCCGCGGTTTCGGCTATTTACACGCCACATAGTAAAATATAGAATTTGCATCATGCCTTCTATAATTTAAAATAACTTTTGATATTAAAATTGATTTCATTCTATTAATCGATAGATATTGTCTTTTACTATGCGTGCGTGTGTAAAAAGAAACTGCCGTTAGTAACCGCAAACTTCCCTTTCATTGTAGCCGTGTTACATTTCCACGTCATACGTTCTCTGCTCTAGTATAATAGGTATATGGTTCTGAAACAATTATATATCTGACAAATGTTACTTGAACTTGGTAATAAAGTTTAAAGTATTTGTTCGTAAAATTATAGAGCTGCGGGGGAATATTCCGATTGTACTAAAACATGTTTTGAACTTTGAATTAATTATATTACCTACGTTATACGTAGGAAAGGTTTGTTATGTAATTTCTAGGTAACTTATGCCGGTACAATGGTGAATACTCATTTAAAGCGATAGCATGTAATTCTTCAATAGAATTCATGGTACGTGGTTTTCCAATATTGGCATTTATCTCATGAATGTTATATATTGTGTGGTTTATAAATAAATAAAAGGTTACATCAGCGTGACGTGAACACAATGGATACATGAATGTAACAATAACATTGCGATATTTGAATTGATCTGTGCAAAATAGAGGTACTCTTTGTTTATTAACTCATTACTATGAATATTTAGCCTTGATTCATGGAGGAGTCCAAGACTCTATATTATTCTTTTTGATTTTAATTTCCTCTTTTTATAATTTAAAATATACCATCGCTGTTTCTTATTGTTAACCGTCATGAGATGCTATTGTTCTATATATTATTTTGATGATATTTTTTAATGGATCAGTCTATTTCAATTTATGGGTATTTGTTATACGTTTGTTACACACCATTTTTAGAATATTCTCTATGTTCTCATTTTTTTTACATATTTTTTGACATATACAGTTGAGTCGTTCATGGTTATAAAAAATCGTGATATATAGAGAAATCTACCAAAAAGATGTGGAATGTTCGTGATCTCACATTAAATTTACAGAGTGCTTCCTGTGTTTACGATCCACAGACCAATTTCGTTTTTACTGAACATTAAGGTTCGTTCTGATACTCTATTGTGCAAAGCAACACCACCTTTACTTAGCAAAACCCATTTTGGTTAGTAATAAAAAAATATGACTCGAAACGAATCTATCAGATTCTCCTTTTGCTTTTGGTTTCAAGCTCTACATTTTCAAAAAGAATATATTATATATTTCATAAATTGAATATTGTTGAATGGTCTTTACAATTTCGTAAAAAATTAAAATAATAAATTTGTCACTTTATTTTTATTACTATGTGACTAAGAAACAATGATAAAACAATGTCAAATTGAAATCAGATTTCTGGTAATAGGCTTGGAATAATCGGATTAACGCTAGGTCTCCTAGAGGTCGCTGGTTTGATCCAGCTTGGTACAATTTCTTTTTCCAGTATTTTCGCCGCGTCGGATACCTTGTGGGGTAGGCAGAGAGGACCACGCGCCATAAAGAACGGTGCCTTCTTGTTTTCATTACATGCACACTCTTTTCATGCACACTACACGGTTTTTATGGCTTCTGATTTCGTTTTTAGTAGCACTTCTATAGCATCATTATCATCGTCAAAACAATTCAAAATCAGCCTCCTCGTGAAACCTGGTTTGATGATGGTAAATTAAGCAAAAATTACATTAGATTGATTTTAAGACTCCGTTACACACTACCCAACAGCGAGGTTTGAAAATTTATTGAAAAATACTGACTCAGATAAATTTGCAAATTGATTTTAAGACTCCGTTACACACTACCCAACAGCAAGGTTTGCAAATTTATTGAAAAATACTGACTCAGATAAAAATTCCATCTACAATAAAGTTGAAGATGTATAATATTTTATGATGGAGTGTATTAGAAACAAAGATGAGAGGGAGTCATTTATGACAAAATTCAAATCAAATGTTTCAGATATTGGTTTGATATAAAGTATTTTAGCCTAAGTCTATAAATTTGTTTAGATTTAAATAGGGTTTAATAAAAAAATGATGGGGTTGACATGTTCAAAGGAATAAAAACCCATTTAAATGAAAAAACCAAAAAACCATCATCATTACTAATTGAAATAAATAATAATGTACGTTTGGTGTCAAAACTATTCGCAAGGGAATGAAAAGTATCTAAAGAAAGTGTAAAAGCAATTGAAGAAATTTTAACATTTGTAACAGTTTGCGGTCTACCGCAAACTCGTATTTGTACAGTTGTACAGTCGATTTTACAGTCTACTGTACAATCGTATTTGGAGCATCTCCTTTTTGTTAATAAAATCCTTTGGACAGATATACCCTAGTCAGAGAGATGTATTTCATTGTACTTTGATCTTGCTCAGTTTTACAGCCTTAGGTGACAGAGCGCCAAGTTTCTCCTGTGTACAAATGTACACATGTGCGTGTGCGTCTCCGATTTAACCCCTCAATTTATTGTGTTAACCAATGAGTTTGGAAGCGTCAACGACTCGAGTTTAACCCC